CCGGGCTGTGTATTAGAGGTGCAGGCCTATGGCGCACGCGCGCTCTCTCTCTCTCTCTCTCTCTCTCTCTCTCTCTCTCTCTCTCTCTCTCTCTCGTGCTTGTGTGCAGTGGAGGTGGCTGGCATAGGGCAGAAGTTGGATGTGGGTAGTGTGTTTTCCCTCTCTTTGGTACTGGTTTCAATTCTCTGGTGGGGCTTTCTCTATCACTTTCTCAAGGCACTGGGGCCCAGAAGCATGGCTCACCTAGGACCTTTTGTGACAGGGTCTGTGTTCTTTGCGCCACACCCCCATCTTCTCAGCCCTTGCCCATCCCTGTTCTCTGTTCAACCTGGCCCTTGGCCCATTTCTGTGACCTTCGCCCTCTCCCTCAATGGAAGTCCCTCCTTCCTGAGAGCTGAGCAACTTTGCATTGCAGTTTGCAGACTGAGCTGTGATAGGCTCTTGGGGTTTCTAAGGTCTTCCAGCCACTCCCTGGGGTATGTGTGTGAGGGGGACAAGGCTCAACTTTCGTCTGATTTCAAACTTTCATCAGAACTGAAACATTGGCTCTGAAGTGGCTGTAATTATTTCTTCTCTAAAGATAAGACTGAACTCTAGCAAGTCCAGGCTGGGTGTCTACTACTTGCACCCCTAAAGTTAGGTCAGGATGCCTGAGATGTGGGTGTGAATGGCTTTCTGGACCTTGGCCTTGGCTCAGGAGGCTTCCCTATGGCCAGGTGCCTGCTAGGCCTCACCTGTAGGGAAGTGGCCTCTGTGTGGACGGGAATTGGTGTATGTGGATCCACTATAATGAACTGAGTTTACTTGGAGGACTCAGAGCATCTCCTGGCAGAAAGAGGCAAGTACAGGGGCCAGCCTGATGTGTGAGAGCCAGGAACTGTACAGTGTGGGAAACTGGGGTTGTGCGTCTTCTGGGAGCATATATGGTGTGGGGGGGGGGGCAGTGCACACAAGTACTGAACTGTGTGCATTAGATGGCAGATCCCAGGTGTGGAGAGATGGTATCTGCAGCCTGTCTGTTTTCACGTGCATGCCTGCACACACAGGCTGGGGCTGCAAGTGGGCTCTTGCCCACCCAGGTGTTTTTTGTAGACCTGCATGCATGAGTTTGTGTAAGTGTGTGTATGTGGAGGGGTAGGTAGATACCTGTGAATTCAGTCAGCCCCTCCTCCCCTTGCCTGGCTCCCCTTGCTCAAGTCCCTTTTGTGTGGGGCCCACAGGGGAAAGGGGGACTATGGCAGCTGCTCCAGCGGGTGGGGCTCCTGTTCCACTGACATCAGCCCTCAGCCTGGGAGGGAATGGCAGGGGGCTGAGGAGAGACAAGGGGCGTACCATTAAGGAGTAAGGGAGGAGGCTGGCTCTGTGGTTGTCCTGATGAGTTAACAGTCCAGATTTCACCCTAGGGGCCGTTGTCTCCTCCCTAGCCACTACCTCCGCCTTCTCCCTGTCTCCCTCAGTCTGACAGGGCCTGGTTGGCTGGTCCAGCTGGGCCCAGAAGTCCTGGCACCTTCCACAGGGGCGTTGGTGGGAACTCGCCCCATCCTGGGCCTGGTCCCTAGCCAAATACTGTCTATGTATGTATGTATACCTTAGTCTCCAGGTTTGAGCCTGGGACTTGGAGCCTGGAGCCTGGTATGTACTGAGCTTAGAGAGTGGAAATGAACAGAGGATGTTGGAAAGAGACAGTCTTTATTTTGAGTCTTTATTGCACTGTTTTCTCTTTTCCTAGTCTTTCTCATCCTCTTTTCTTCTTCTACAGCTTTATTGAGATATAGTTCACATGCTGTAAAATTCACCCTTAAAGTATACAATTCAAACTGAGCATGGTAATATACATCTGTAATTCCAGCACTCAGGAGTCTGAGGCAAGAAGATTGCTAGTTGCAGGTCAGGATGGACTACATAGTAAGAACTTGTCTCCAAAACACAAGGAAACCCAGGCACCAGTGCCTCAGGCCTGTAAGCTTCTCAGGAAGCTGAGATCTGGAAAGTCAGTTTGAAGCCAGCCCAGGCAGAAACCTATGCAAAATTCTATCTCCAAAATAACCAGCAAAAAGCCAGGCTAGAGGTATGGCTCAAATAGTAGAGTGCTAGCCTAGCAAATAAGCCAATGAATTAAAAGTCCTGAGTTCAAACCCTAGTACTGTCAAAAAAAAAAGTAGAAGTATACAGTTCGGCGGTTTTCATATGTTCACAGGGTTCTGCAACCACTACCGCAACCAATTTTAGACATTAGGACATTTTCATCACCCTAAAGAGAGCCCCCGTATCTATCAGCAGTCACTTCCCATTTCCCTAGAATTCACACCCCAGCTCCTGGTAACCACAAATGTACTTTCTGTCTATATAGCTTGTCTCTCCTGGACATTCATACAAATAAAATCAAATGCATGTTTTTGTAATTATCATGTGATTTCAAGTTTTACTCAAGTTAGTGTGTATCAGGATATTTTTTGGTGTATTCCTTTTGGGGGGCAGAATAATATCTTATAGTGTGGATCTACATTTTATTTATCCATTTTTCAGTTAATGGACATTTAGACCTGGTTCCACTTTTGCCAGTCCTGGGGCATGAATGCAGGGCCTGCGCACTGTCTCTGAGCTTCTTTTGCTCAAGGCTAGCACTCTACCACTTGAACTACAGCACCACTTCTGACTTTTTCTGCTTTTGTGGTACTGAATCGAACGCAGGGCTTCATGCATGCTAGGCAGTTACTTTACCACTAAGCCACATTCCCAGCTCTTATAAGTCCTTCCTTGCCCCAGTCCCCCTCTCCACCTCCCAGACTTATCCATCTCTCTCAAATATACCTAGGTCATAAGCTAACTCAAATGTGTAGTAATTTGAGGAACTGCCAAGCTGTTCTTCAAAGCAGCTATACTATTTTACATTCCCATCAACAGTATGTAAAGGTTTGGTCTCTTCATATCCTCACCAGTATTTGTTGTTTTATTTGGGGGTAATAGTTTGAACCCATGACCTTGTACATGGTAGGAAAGCACTCTACCACTGAGTTACATCACTAGTCATTTTTATTTTGAGACAGGGTCTTGTTAAATTACCCCATGCTACCCCTGAACTTTCAGTTCTCTTGCCTGGTGAGTAGCTGGGTTTATAAGTGTGCCCCACTATGCTAGTGTATAGTCATTTATTAGGGAAGAAAATATAACCAGGCAGAGTTTATCATTGTTGTTTCTTTTTCCTCTCCCTGTACTGTGGTTTGAACTCATGGCTTTGCATTTGTTGGCCAAGCACTTTGCCACTTAAGCCACACCTCTTCAGCTGTCGCTTTTTCGTTTACTTTTCAGATAGGGTCTTGGATTTTCCCTAGGTCAGTCATGTAGCCATGTCTCCTACATGGCTGAATTATAGGTGTGAACCTCAATGCTCAGCATACTCTCTCTCTTCTTTTTTTTTGGCTGGTCGTGGATCCTGAACTCTGGGCCTAGGTGCTGTCCCTCAGCTCTTCAGATCAAGGGTAGTGCTCTACCACTTGAGCCACAGTGCCACTTCTGGCTTTTTCTGCTTATGTGGTGCTGAGGAACTGAACCCAGGGCCTCATGCATGCAAGGCAAGCACTGAGCCACCTTCCCAGCACTCAGCATACTCTTTGAGATTGTCTTGTTAACGGTTTTTGTTGTTTTGTTAACAGTTTTTGTTGTTTTGTTTCTTTCCCTAGCTGGTCTCAAACTGCAGTCCTTCTGATCTCTGCCTTCTAAGTAGATGGGATTACTGCATTACTGCATTGTGGTTTTGGTTGGCTGTGATTTTTATAATGGGCCTTTTTTTTTTTTTTTTTTTTTTTTTAACCTGTTTAGGTTCTGGGGCTTGAACTCACTCAGGACCTGGGTGCTGTTTTCTGAGCTTTTGAGCTCAAAGCAGGTCTTCTCCCATTTGAGCCACATTTCTACCTCTTGCCTTCTGGTAGTTAATTGGAGAGAGAGGGGAGTCTCATGAACTTTTCTACTTTGGCTGACTTTGAACCGTAATCCTCAGATCTCAGCCTGAGTAGCTTGGGTTACAGGTATGAGCCACCAGTACCTGGTGACATGGGTCTCTTTTGACACACACATCCATGTATATATGGATGTGTATGTATAAGGTCTAGGTATCTGTATATGTATTCATTATTTACAGTGGATTTGAAACATCTTGTGGATCTGTTTCTCATTTTCTCTCTGTCTCTGTTGCTGCCTGTGTCTCGCTGTTGGGGGATCTCTTGGGTTCATCGCTGTCCCTCTGTACCCCATGGTGCTATCTATGCATATCCTCTGCTCCCAGCTGTTCAAACAGGGTGTAGGTCTGTATGCACTGGTGAGGGGGCATCTGGCCTTTCATCTTCTGCCCACCTCCCACCCCATTCTGAGGGTGTTGCTTTTGCAGATAGAAGTATGGTGAACTCTGAGATCAGTCTCTCTCGCCTTTTCATCTCTGGGGGTGGGAGACTCCAACAATCATAGCGGTCAACCATCCATCCTGTTCACATGGATGTAATGGGGGAATCAACTTATCTGGGGTTCCGGGGCTTGGATTTGGGGGGAAGTGGTATAAGTGACCCCCCCCCCAGTTCAGGAGTCATTTTTCTGAGAAGTGCCAATGCTTTAGGGAAGCGGCTTTTCCTCTCTCCCTCACCCCCCACCCCCAGCACACAGTCTGTGTCTTGACCTCAGGTAACCCACACTGGGGAAAGGAGAGCCAGCTGCCGCCTCTGCTGCAGTGATCTCTGGGGCGGCACCGGGGACCCTTCCTTCCCTGATGACTCTCATGGGTGAGAGGCCTCCCAATGGGTCTGGGTTATGTCCTCAGCTCTCCAGCCTGGCTGAGCTATCCTGCCACCCCCAGCAGTGCCTGGGCCCTGCTCCCAGGCTGCCTTTGCCAACCAGGCAAGGTGCCAGCTGTCTGCTCAGCTGGGTGCCACGGGAAAATCTCCGGAGCTCCACAGGGAATCCCGGGTGCCTGCTCTTCAGTGCCCACTCACCTGTCTCTCCTCTTTCTGCAGCATCACAGGACACGGCCCCCCTTCCTGCCTGGCTGGGGTCCGTCTAGGAGTGCCAGCCCTTTTGGTGCCCCGAAAGCCAGCTCTGGACCTTCCCAGGAAAGTGCCAGCTCACAGAACTGCTTCACCAAAGGACCAACTCTTGGGACATTCCCCAACCTACCCAGCCTCAGCTAGGGTGGGGGCTCTAGAAGGCTGACATTAGCTTTGTTGACTTTGGACAGCCGCTCCAGGACAGAAGAGGGGGTGTGGGCTGACCACACAAACCCCCTCTGGGCCCAGGCCCCATGCCCCAAGGAGGGGCAGCCTGAAGCCCGCCGCAGCCCCCTGCCAGACTGTCTGCCTGCTCTTCTGACTGTGGCCCTTTGGTATGGCCAGCAACAGCAGCTCCTGCCCAACACCTGGGGGTGGGCACCTTAATGGCTACCCAGTGCCCCCCTATGCCTTCTTCTTCCCCCCTATGCTGGGGGGCCTCTCCCCGCCAGGAGCTCTGACCACTCTCCAGCACCAGCTTCCAGTTAGTGGATACAGCACACCATCCCCAGCCAGTAAGTCTATTTGGGGGGGGGGGCATGCTGGGAGGGGGCTATGGAGGCCCAGGCCTCAGGGGGCCATCCTGGCAGGGGGAGGACCTTAGCCTGGGCTGGTTGTGTTTGGTGTTGGGGCGGGGGAGGGGTGTGAAACCACACTGTTCCATGGCCTAGCTGTCCTGGGTGGCTCTGAGGAGGACTGGATGCAGAGGCTGGAGGAGAGGCTTTTCCTCTTGACAGTGGGTGGAAATGACAGCTCTAGGGAGTGAGAGCAAGTGACACCCAACTCTGCTTACCCCCACCTGGTGCTCTTATGGGAAAGGGCTTTAAGGAAGAGGCCAGAGGCAGCTGGAGCCCCTTGCTCTCCCCTGCCATCTCCTCCCCCACTCTTCCCTTTCTGGGGATGCTAGCGAGAGGGAAGGACCCACAGGCTAGCCTGGTGAAGAGGGTGTCTTGGAGAAGGGACACTCAGCCTGGACTCTGGCCTTGGCCACATGCATGGTCTTGGCAGGGCCTTTGTTTTCTGCCATGAGGGTCACGTGTTAGCTGGGTGGGGGTCTCAGTACCCTTCTCTGGCCAGCCAAGCCAGGTAGTGGGAGGTGGCGGCAGCTATGGCCAGCTGGCAGAGTCCAGGCTTGGGGCCTGCCAGGCCGCTTACAGTAACTCTGGCCCCCAGGGCCTGGCTGGGCTCTAGGCCAGGGCCAGGGAGGAGGGAGCTGGGCTTGGCCTGGGGCGGGAGGGGGTAGAAGCAGTAGAACAGGCTATGGACAGCTAGCTGGCGGGCTGGTCAGCTGCTGACCTGAGAAACGTGTCCCACCTCTCTTGGCTGGCAGGGACTGAACACCCTGCCCTGGGCACCCACCATTCCTCCCACAATCACTGGCACGCTGCCTGGCACCATTGCCCTGTGTGCCCGGCTGGGCTGGGTCAGTGCCCCCTTCTTAGTGTGGGGGCAGTGCTCGCTCCCCGGAGCCAGGGAGTCTCTTTGTCCCTGGGGCAGGCCCTGGCTGGGCGCCTCACTGCCCACGCTGGCTGTCTGCCCACCGCCACCACTGCTTCCTGGATCAGCCCCTTCCCTCCCAGCTGCCTGGGAGCAGCAACTCCCACTTTATGCCCTAGGGTCAGGGAGGCAGACAGGTGCTGCCTCAGTTTCCCCTACTCTCCTTTCCCTTTCTGCCCTGTTTCTGCCTTGTATAGGAGTGTGAGGCAGATGGATTTGGAGAACCCCAATTCTGATTTGGTCTTCTAGTCTGTGCTGTGGTGATGGGGGGTGGCCAGCCTTCAGGGCACAAAGTGGCTGGGGAAAGTGTGGGTTATGCCTGGGTGGCATACTCAATGCATTTGAAAGGAACAGGATTCTTTTTTTTTTTTGAGGGGGGGGGTCCGGTTGTGGGGCCTGAACTCTGGGCCTGGGCGCTGTCCCTCAGCTCTTCAGCTCAAGGCTAGCGCTCTACCACTTGAGCCACAGCGCTACTTCCGGCTTTTTTCTCTTTGCTTATGTGGTGCTGAGGAATCGAACCCAGGGCCTCATGCATGCAAGGCAAGCACTCTACCACTGAGACACCTTCCCAGCCCCAGGAGCAGGATTGTTAATGCTGGTCTCAGGTCACTTGGAGCCAGGGTGGAATTTTAAGGAGGAAAGGTGTTGAGGCAGGGGACAGATGGGTGTGTGTGGGGTAATCCTGTAACTTGGTACTGTGGACAACTTGTCCTTCCCCATGTACTGAGAGCAGAATTCCCACCTAGGTCTGGACTGGGGGGTGGGGCCTGGGGTGGGGCCTGATTCTTGCCTTTTCTGAGCCAGACAGAGCAAATGCTTTGCCCTCCCCTCAGTGTTGCAAACTGGTTCCTCTTTCTTAGAGGTGGGTGGGAAGGGCTCCTACCCTGGTAACCTTCTCCCAGGGTGGGGTGCCCACATTTCGGGCAAATGTAGCTTTCTCTGGCTTCCCCACCCATCTTAGGCAATGCCCTCTTCCTGTACCCTCCTCTGTAAGCCTGTGGGTTTCCCATTCCTCCTGGTAAACAACTTCTCTGCTTATCCCATCCATCACCTGCTTCTGAGCTTCTGGTCCACTTTCTCTGGAACCTGAGGTATGGCCTTGGGTCCAAGAGAGCCATACATGTCCTTCCTTCTCCTGCAGGGCTGGAGGTACCAGTGACCAGAGCCCCCCAGCTCTTGGTAGGGAAGCAGGATGGATAAAAATTTCACACACCTAAGCTGGGTGCTGGTGGCTCACATAGGTGTAATCCTGGCTACTCAGGAGGCTAAGATTCAAGGATCTAGGTTCCAGGCTAGCCCAGGCAGGAAAGTCCATGAGACTTTTTTTTTTTTTTTTTTTGGTCATGAGGCTTGAACTTTGGGCCTGGGCGCTGTCCCTGAGCTCTTCAGCTCAAGGCTAGCACTCTATCACTTGAGCCACATCACTCACTACTTCTGGTTTTCTGGTGTTTTATTGGAGATAAGAGTTGCATGGCTTTTCCTGCCTGGACTAGCTTTGAACCGTGATCCTCAGATCTCAGCATTCTGAGTAGCTAGAATTACAGGCATGAATCACCAGTGCCCAGCTCCATGAGACTCAATTAACCACCCCAAAGCACCACCAGCCTTAAACAATAAAACTAAGAGACAGTGCCTAGGCCTTCAGTTCAAGTCCTACTATTGGCACACACACAAAAAAACAAAAACAAAAAAACCCTTACACATCTGGCTTAGAGATGGAGGCAACTCAGCCTCCTCTTGGGGCTAGTGCTAGAGTCAGACAGTTCCTAAGGGAGGTGGGAGTCGTCTGTGGCCTTCCTCTGGTTCCTGTGGGCAGCAGTGATATGCTCTGGTCCTCTGACATGCTTTTTGTAAACCTGCTGGAGGAACCTTCTGCCTCTACTCACCAGCTAGCAGAGGTATCAGGATGGGGCCTCCCTACCTCCTCTTTCTCTTAGGGTAGAGGGAAAAGAGGCAGTGCCTAGGTACTCTGGGTGTGTCCTTCAGAGGCCCAGGTGGCCTTGGAGAGGAGAGAGAGCCACTATGGGTAGGAGGTCCCAGAGATAGTGCAAGCCTCTCCCATTGCTACTTGGCAGGGAAGACTGGTGTTTACTGAGGTTTGGGATTCCGTGTACTTTATGTGGAGGGTCAGGCCTGTGTGTGTGTGTTTTAGGGGTGGGGGTGGGGTCAAGGTTGAGTATGTGTTGAGAAGGGGATTAATGGCTTGTGTGTATTGGGTGAGAGGGTTCCAGGGCTGGAATCCGAAGCTCTCAGCTTGTGTGTTGGGGCTGGGGGAGGGGCAGGACAGAGGTGTAAGGAGGTGTGGTCTTCAGAGAGCACCTGCTTGGGAAGAGAGGGTCTCTGTCTCTTTGCACCTCTCCTTGCTGGAGGGAGAGCTAGTCTGCCACTTTGGTTGCAGACCCCGGGAATTCCATGGGCTGAGGGGTCTGGACTGAAGTCAGGGCTGTGGAGTGGGAGCTAGTGTTTCTGTGTCCAAGGAAATAACTCTATGCCAGTTCCCCCCTCCCCTCTGATTTTTTTTTTTTAAACCAGAACCAACCTCAGAGGGCTTTACACAGAATCATGGAAGCAATGTCCACACACCCTGTGCCAGGGACGGGACCTCATTTCTAGGTGGGAGTTAGAATGGGAGGCTGCGGAACTTCCTATGGGAGCCTTATCCCCATTAACATGGGAAATAGATGGGGAGATCAGGTGGAGGGGAGGGCCTGTTGTAGAGCTCCTGTTTTCCATTTTAGGAAGGGAGGCACTCCTGGTGTGGGGAACCTAGTGGGGGGTACTGACCAAGGTTGAAACCTTTGCCCCCATTCCCGTGGTTGAGGCCCTTGCCAGTGCCTCAGGACCTCCTGACTCCCCCAGTAGGGGGCGCAGGGGAGCTCCCAAGCCACGCCCCCTCGCCTATGTTTTGGATCCTGAAGGCTGGAGGGAAAGGGAGATAAGGGGGGGCGGGGCAGTTCGTCACCCTGTCCTGGAAGCTGTGGATACAGTCTGTTCACACCCAACCAGCCCCCCACCCGCCACAGCCCTCTGGGAGTCTGCGGAGCTTCGCGGGTGGCCCTCCTCCCGTCTCCAGACAGACCCTGAAGGAACAGGGTGTAAAAGTCGAGTTCTTAAGCTTATTTTGTTTCAATTTGTGGGGTGGGGGCAGGGAAGCTAGGAACAGTCAATGGAGGAGAGTGGCTCCAGAATTTCCATTCACCCGTTTGTGGGTTGCAAGTGGGTCTCTCTAGACTTCCCCAGTCTGTAAATGAGCCTGAGTCTGGTGTACCTGGGCCGGAGGGGAGGAAGGGAAAGCGCCTTTCCCTTTTACTCTCCTCTCCCATTTCTTCCTCCTTTTCAGTCTGAGCATCCTCCCTCCCTCTTTCCTTTGGACAATGGGAGGGACCGCCTAGGGGGAGGGGTCACTGCCTTAGCCATGCCTTCTGAAGGTCTGAAATGCTAAGTCAGCCGAAAGACCTTAGCACTGGAGTCTTCAGTGAAAACGAGACCCCACACCTTTTATCTTCCAGCCTGGATAAAGCACAGATATCCTTAGGGCAAGATCCCAGCCTGAACTGGGGGGTGGGGGAGGGGACTCGGAAGGAAGTCTGTCTTCTTCTTAAGCAAGTCAGGGCCTGAGGCATGGCATTGTGTCCTCTTCACACCGTGGGACGTGTGCCTGTGAGACTGAGACAGTGCAGTCCTGGACTGCCTTCTATGTGTGTGTGTGTGGGGGGGGGGGGGGGGTGGTGGGGAAGGGCAGCATCTGCAGAAAGGGGAAGTGGTGCCTTTCTCTAAATCATGTTGGGGTTATACTTCTGCCCCTTCAGTGGTCAGGATAGACTGGAGGACACTTAACTCTTGATTGGATAAAGAAAAAAAATCTGAATTCCATTTGGCATTCTGGGTTTCCAGAAATACTTGCCAGCCTGACGATGCCCTGACATTGACCACTTCTACCTCTCCCCCTGCATTATAGGGAGAAGTCTTATGGACAGGTCACCCAACATCTCCCTCAATCTGTTTCCTCCTTTTTAAA